TGGGCAATTTGATTATCTCAGCCCAACTATACTTGTAATGGCAACAGAAATACTTAAAAAAAAAAAAAAACGGCATTCACAAATTAAGAAGTCTGGAAAGGTATGCTGCATGCTAGCTTCTGGAATGATCTAAGATGAAAAAAATGTGTGGGTGTCATATATATCAGAATCATCCACCAATAAAATATCAATAGGGGTGAAGAAATTCATTGCAAGTTTTATAAAAGTTGAGAACAGTAAAAGGCTCAGCAGACAGCTAAGTTAATATACCTGAAACAATGACATTCAGAGTAATTACTTTATAGGGTCTTGTCTCCATAAAGGGAGTAGTTACATGGCTCACAAAAACAGATACAGAAAATGAACTGCCTGATGTTCTGGAAATACAAGGCTCCTAATGAGTCATTCACTCTTACCACTTGGAACGACTGACACCTGGTTTTCATGAGTTACATTCTCAGGGGAGTTGGTAGGTTTTTCTCCTGTGTTGGGGTAGGGTATCAGAATTATGGAGTATTAGAAAACTAGCCATAAAGATTAATAGATTAATTAGTTAAATAGAGCCATATTTCAAACATAAGTGGATTTAAACATAAGTCTGACACTATCACTGGCTACCAGCTGCTTCCTGAGTTTAGTTTTCCTTTGACATGAAGAGAACAGGGCAGTGGGCAGTGCAGGACTCTGCAGCTCTTAGTTAACCCACCTGTGGCCTGGCTCTCCATTAACCTTAAGAGTTGGCCTGGGGCTTAAATGTTACTGTGTGTTTGAGGTGTCTGGCATAGAGTGGTAGGGCTCAATGATGTTGCATTCTTCCCTTATTGCCTGTAACCCAAGATCTTGTCCCTAAACATGGCCAATCACTGTGACCTCTACATCCCAGGCCCTAGTACAGTGTCAGATACATAGCAAGGAACTATGGGAAATATAAGAGGTCATATTGATAGCTTTCCTTCCTAGACTACAACTTGGTGAGAGGAAAAGGAGAAGATTGTAATTCTAGAATTCAGCGGCAGGTGGCATTCTGATACAACCCTGGGGCAAGAAAATAAAGGACAAGTGCCACTTCCTAAGATTGGGTTGAATCCAAATGTTTTGCTTCACCTGGTGACTGACTACAACAGAGACATTTTACTTCAGGTCCTTTTCATATCTGTCCTAGTTCTGATACTAAACATTGCAACAGGCTGGCCCTTTCAATAATGATTCAAACATGGAATAAAAGAAACTGGTGCCCGTGGTGATCAAGTAAACAAGCCAAATGAAGATGTCTCTCTCAATCATTTTGCCAATTGCAAGAGAAACCTGGCATGTGACACAGAAAATAAACAGGTTTCAGAGTTCAGTGAAGTAACAAAATAAGGAGTTTAGGACTACAAGAGAGGAAAGGAAAAAAAATACAACTAGATTAACAAACAGCCTCACAAATCCATACATATTGTCAAGGATTACAAAAACACTAGAAAGTGATTAAGTGACTTAAGAAACCACGTCTACTAACTTCACATTACCGACTCCCTACACCAGCTCCCAACTCAAATGTAGACACAAGTCTCATGTCCAAGACAAGTAGTCAGGAGAAGTGTACTTATCACACACACACACACACACAAAATTAGTCTGTTAGGTAATTAGCATTATTAAACCATTCCCCAATGTACACATTTATCAAAATATCATCTTGTATACCACAAATGCAGACAATTTTCTATTTGTCAGTTCGGGCACCAAGGGAACAGCTACATTTCTGTATTACCAGAAGTCAAAGAATCTAAAATTAAATTATACTCGTAAATGAGAACCAGAAATTGATTCTAATTCTAAAATGGAACCAAGAGCCCACTTCTAATGTCTGAAGCTAACTGCTCTCGAATAATACAACATTAAAAACCATCCAAGTGTCAGTCATGTTTATTGAGTGTCTCCTGTCTGCCAGGCTCCACACTAAGTACATTCCCATATTAACTCAAGAGTATTCACGGTGGGGATCTTTAAAAACAAGAACTATTCATTTACAATGGAAGAACCTGAGGCAAAAATAGGTCCAGTAACTTCCAAAATCAGGGAGCTTAGAAAACAGTGGGAAGCTGAGATTCAGGTATAGGCTCTAAGACAGTAATCCTATTGAAGTGACCACAGCCATGTGTAGCTCTCAATATAGCAATGTGTACCTGTTATGATGCTCTCAAAATAAAACAAAAACCAGAACGTTTTCAGGATGATTAAGAAAGAAGACTCTAGTTCTCTCTCTCAAAGGGAACCATCTCCACCCCTTTTTGGCTCATTAGTGGCATCCTTTCTTCCTCCCTCACTTGACTCTCTTAAGACAATGAACACACAGCATGGGGGCTGAGAAGAGGGTGCTCAGTAGTTGTTGACAAGTGATGACTACAATAGATGTGCAGTGAGCGCTCACTGAACTGAATTCAGCTAACAAAAGGAAAAAGCTGATCTTCATAGGAAGTGAGGGGGACAGGCTAATGAAGCCCCCATTCCACACTTCAGGAGGGGAAAACCAGCCACAGGTCCCCAAAGGAAGCATTCAGCCTTCAATTATAAGTATATGTGAGCCAGTCATCTTTATATATAGGCCTGCCTGCCCTTTGTTCCCCTCAATGTCTCTGCCCAAACTTCACATTTTTCTCCCCTATCCATTGGGAGTGGGGAGGAGCAAAGGTCTTAAAGAAAGGGAACAGGTGGATGAAAACCTAAAGTCCACACCACTTCCCCACACCTTCCCAGCAAAATCCTCTACCATTACCTCCCCAGTCTACCTACTCCAACTAAAAACTCTTAGGAAGGCATGAAATTAGCCCAGCCTGTCATTCATGGGAGGCAACTGGACTCTGGCTACACTGTATCACAGTGGAAGTGGAAGAAAACTTTTGAAAATTAAAGTGAGTGAGGAGCCTTTCCCTCAGGGCAGGAAAGGTATATTTCATTGACTTCTTCTAGGACTGAAGGCTCACCCACCGCCCCAGGTCTTACTCTCCTGAAGAAGCAAATGAGAAGGCAGGCCACCTACTACCTAAAGCAGAAGCCAGAAATGTGATCAAATAAATGCTGCAAAATCTATTTGTCAGCAGCCTGCTGCTAATGAGGAACACCCAGGTCCCAATTCTGAGTGCTTTTAATTTCAAGAGGTATTTCAACTGTCACTAGCTCTGAGGGTCTTGTGAGGGATATATGGTGACCATGGAACAACCCTGTCAAAAAAAAAAAAAAGAGAGAGAGAGAGAGATCTATGGGGCCGAGGTTATAGCTCAGTGGTAAGTACTTGCCTAGCATGTCTGAGGTTCAAACCCCAATGCAGAGGCTTCGAGGTGGGGAATATGACTTGAATATACTGAGAAAAGAGAGGAAATGATAACCTAGGAGAAGGTCCCATGTTCCACAGTGATATTTGCTTGGGCTCTGTCTCTAAAAGAAGCTCTCCCTCTTACCTTAGGGCACAGAAAAGGGAGGCACCTGAAATCAAACAAAGAAAAATCATGGCAAAAAACATTTAATTTAGCCTCAAAAATGGAGTTGTTCTCTGTGGCATCACCTGGGAGCTGTTACTCTCAGTCAACTGGCAGCAGCAACAGAACACAAAACAGGACAGAATAAAAAAGAAACAGTAGCAGAGAGCCCACCAAGACACAACCTCTGCAATTAGCCAGCACCTGTTTCATCAGCCCCTAGAGCGTCCCATCCATCAAGGGGCAAGGGGGCAGCCAGTAGTTTTTGATTTGATTCCCTGCTAGGTTCTTCCATTGCAGCTCGCCCAGGAGAAAACCTCAACTCTTCCCACCCCTTGATTTTCCCAAAGGTGGAATGGAAGTCACCCAAGGTGGTAACAAGTCCTAGATTGTCTGTCAAATGCTCCGCAACCTTGAAAAAGGCAGCTATTTAAATTCAAGGGTACAAGTGAGAATGAAGCTCAGATGAAAAAGAAGAAAAAAAGAAGGTAGTGACAACTAACTCAGCCTACAAGTAAATAGCTAGCTAACTAGGCCAACAGATGCATGACAGAAAGCTCAGTTTTGCTGATCACCAAGGAGATGCACACCAAAACCACAAGAGTGATAACCTCACACCCGGTGAGATGGCTACTGTCCAAAAACCAGAAGGAAGTAAGTGCTGGTGAGGATGTGGACAAACTGAAGCCCTAGTGCACCATTGGTGGGAATGTAAACTGGTATAGCTGGTATGAAAAACAGTATGGTGGCTCCTCAAAAAATTAAAAATAGAATTAGCATGTGATCCAGCAATTCCATTTCAGGGTGTTACCCAAAAGCAATGAAAGCAAAGCCTCAAAGAGATATTTGTACACTTATGTTCATAGCAGCATCACTCACAGAAGCCAAAAGGGGAAAAGCAACTCAAGTGTCCATAGATATATGAATAGAGAAGTAAACTGTCATAAACACACACACACACACACACAGAGTACAATATTAGTCAGCCTTAAAAACAAAATTAACACATATGACAATGTAGATTAACCTTGCAGATTTGTAGATGAAACGAGCTAGACACCAATGGACAAACTGTATGATTCTACTTTTCTGAAGTACACAGAGCATTCAAATCCAAATAAACACAAAGTAGAATACTGGTTGCTAGAAACTAGGGCACGGGATGGGGAGTTAGAGTTAATGGGTACAGAGTTTCAGTTTTGTAAGATGCAAAGAATTCTGGAGATGGATAGCAGAGATGGTTGCATAAGGAGAATGTACTTGAAACCATGGAACTGTCCATTTAAAAATAGTTTACATGAAAAATCTTATATTACATGTATTTTATCACAACAGGAAAAATTGGAGGAAAAGAGTAAACAGCTTAACTCAGCCTGCTTTTCCTTCAAGGGGAGGTAGGGAGAATAATGAAGAAGGGAACCATAGGTCCTCCGTATAAAAACAAAACACATTTTTAAGCTTTTCAAATTCCAGGCTCTGCTACACAAGAGTCTAAAGCCACACATCCAGCACTGGGAACTTCAGGAAACTGCTACTCACCTCACTGAGGTAAATAAAAAAAGAGCACGTGGACCCATCCACTCCGTAGTCTGCGTAGCAGGGATCTGAACGCCACATATCTTTCATCCACTGAAACGACAAGAGAAAGGACATCTCTGAGCAGCCATTCACAGTATCCTTGCTCATTTGCTGATGGTGTAGACAAGGAGGTGTAGACAAGGATGGGAAGGGCGGCAGTGGGGTGTGGGGTGAGTGGTGGCTGTGGTCAAAGATAGAGCAACAAGCCCCTGAGTTGAGCTCAAGACAACCAGGTGCTCAATTTCAGGAGGATCATGGTAGACACAGGCTTGAGTGGGACCTGAACAGAGAGGCCAGGGAAGGACAGTGCTGCCAAGATCAGGGCAGACAAGGACTGAATATCCTCTGAAAGCTACAGTTCCACCAGCCCACGATATGGGGTCTAAAACACCAAAGCAGGGGGTAAGCACCATGCATGCCTGAGTGAGTGTTACAGATATGCCAAACAGAGAACTGTATATGCTTTCAGGGTTTATCTCACTGCCCAACTACATCCCAAAATGAAACTTTTTCCAGAAAGCTACTGGGCAGGTGTGGTCTCCAGAAGGGCAGACCACACAAACAGTTCTGTTTTTGATTTTTTTAAATGTTGGGCTGGGGGTGTAAATCAGTGATAGAGTACATGCTTAGTGTGTGTGAAGCCTTATGTTCAATTCCCCAGTAAAACAGTAAAAGCTGGATGTAGTGGTACATGGCTATAATCCAAATTACTGGCGAGGCAGAGGTAGGAGGAATGTAGTCTGAGGCCAGCTGGGGCAAAAGGTGGAGATACTATCTATCAGAAAAACAAACTAAAAAGCAAAAGGGCTGGGGGGTGTGGCTCAAGCGAGTTCAATTCCCAATTTTCTCAAAAAAAAAAAAAAAAGCACTAAGGGTGGGGATGTAGCTCAGGGTGGAACATTTGCTTACCATTCATGAGACCCTAGGTTCCATCCCCAGCATCAAAAAAAAGTTAAGAATGAAAGAGTGGCTAAGTGTCTTTGGGTACTGAACTACACGTGCAAATGTAACATTTAAATCAGAATCCTGTTAAATGAGGACCTTTGGAGACTGGCGGAGAAGGGAGATAGATCCTAACTATCAGCAGCCCCTTGTCACTGCTCCTTGAAGGATCGTCCACTATAGGCTGCAAAAAAGACAGGAGACAGCTTCAAAGACACAGCAGATGCTTGAAGTGACCCAGGATCTTCCAGTCTGACCAGTGAGAGCCACTATTGACCAACATCTTGGAGATGGCCTAAGCAGAGAAGGGTCATCGTGGCCACAGCTCAAAGCTGGCAAGACAGAGGCACCTATTAAATGACTCACTGCAAGGGCTCCCTTTCCCATTTATATCACTAGGGAGGGAAAAGGATGGAGTGATCAAGATGAACAGGTGTAGCTTATGCCTTACCTTGATTTTCCCCTCGCAATGGGGGTAGCCATCCATAGGAGGCAATACACATTTCTCTTGAGCTCCATTAATGATATCTGCAAAGAATGAAAAATAAAGTTCATGAAATACTAGCCTGAAATACTTGTAAAAAGAGAGGTAGAGCAAGAAACCAAAAAAGAGAGATCTGGTCTGGCCATGGAACCTCTCTAGCTCCGAACAAGTCTGACCGGTCTGCAGAGAGGACCTTATCTAAGGACAGCCCACCTGCAGGATGGCCAGACATCTATGTCCTGTTTGGCCTGGCTCAAAAGGGTGAGCTAGAACAACTAGAGTGCCTGTTTGTAAATTTGCAATTGAGACACTGAGAAACTAGGTAAGTAGAGAGCAAGAAATGAAGCCAGGAGATTTGTTGGGTTGGTACAGCCATTCTAACTGGCAAAGTCATGTGCAGATTTCCTGAAGATATGTACATGAGTTTACAAAACCAGCAAGAGGAATAGGTGAACAGAGAAGGGGTATAGAGGAGCAAAGAGCCACAAGTGACAGCTATACCTTTCCAAGGAATTCCTATCCTTGTTCCAAGAGGTCTCACTTCCTACTGACCTGCTTCTCAGGTTTTTATGGTTTATGTGTTTCTCTGTTACCAATCCCCCTTATATTTCAAGAAGATTCTTATTCCAGGTAACTACAAAGTCAAAACTGAAATGACACCTTCAAGAAGCTTACAATTTAACAGTGGGCATGGACAAATTGAACAAAAAGCAGTGTAATAGACATTATTCAGAACTGGGCAAGGGAAGGACATCCAACTCAGTCCCTAAGGGTCAAAGAAGGGCTCCTGGAACCAATGATACCTAAGCTGAGATAGGAAGACATAACTGAAGTGAACCAGACAGACATACAATCTAAAAACGACAGTCAAGGAAGTAAGTTTGTTCCAAATACAAAGACCAACTTGAGCTGGAATGAAGATGCATGAGATACTGAGAGGTCAGACTGGAAAAGCAGGAAGGGTACACAGAGGAAAAGCCTCAAATGCTACAATAAGGACTCTGGTCTTTTCCTAAGGACACAGTAGAGCTATAAGCAATGAGAAGCTTTAAGGAGCACATTAGTTATGGCTTGGCATTTTCTTTTCTTTCTTACACTTTTTTTTTTTTAAATACTGGTGTTTGAACTCAAGCCCTCATGTTTGCTAGGCAGGTGCTGTATGTCCCCAGTCCTTAAGTTTGGCATTTTCTGTAGGAAGGGTCATGTTACTTGGAAATTAGAATTCAAAACCTACATGCTTCTCTTTTGGACCTACTATATTGTCCAGAAATGCTTGGAAAAATGTCATTTATTACCAATAGTATTCTGGGCCAAGTACTAATCAGAAAATAGATGTCAAATGGCAATATTATTTGATGAATATTTAAACAATACCTCAGTGGTTGTTGGGGCTAAACAAAAGCTCGTATTAAAGAGGATCCTTTTGATAACCTGCAACAGGAAGTCTTGACTTCCTGGTTCAGCATCTCCAGTAAGACTTCTCTATCTACCTGCTAAGGACAGCTAAAGCAGAGAAGCCAACATCTTCTTCATCAGAGACTGGAGGCAGATTTCTCTAGTAAAGTTCTTCACTCATCAGAGCCTCTCTTTTGTGATCTGTAAATTGGGAATGATGTATCTCTATTTCATCCTGCTTTTATTAAAAAAGCTAATATTTGTAAAGAGTCTGGCCTGGCACAGCTGCTTTCTAGAAATGAGTTCTCTATGTTTCTGAAATAAATGCAGGCTTGAGGGGGGTGGCTCTCCCTACTGCTCTCCTCCCATTCATCAGGGGACAGCTGACTTCGGCAGCCACTAACATATGGACTGCCTCATCATAGAACAGGGAGTATTTTGCTATGATTATGACTCCTGTCCCTGTTTTTAATTCTAATTTTGCTGGGCAATGCTCACCAAGCAAATAGGCAGCAACAAAGGTTAAAAGAAATTAAAGTCTCCCAGTGCCAGGGGTTAGGATAACAAGACATTTTAGGGGACACTAGGAGGGAAAAATACTTTTCCATGCTATATTATACTGTTCTCTTTCTAGAATGTTCATGGTCAGAAGTTCAGAAGCCAGAGACTAAGGGGTTGGTGGCTCAGTGGAGTGGGCTAATGAAGACTCGCTGGGTGGTGACCTAAACTAACAGGTCCAGGAAGCAATATCCTGTTGTTGATGGAGTGGGACCTTTTCATTCAGTTTCAAGGACTAAACATTTGTCATGCTAAGGGTGGAAAAATTACCTGTGTAGCGGATCAGACAGTCATTGGTTTAGACTGTGGCCACATAGTCTCTGTCACAACTACTCAAACATGCAGTAGCAGCAGCAGAAAAAAAAAATACATGAAGGAATGGGCAGGGCTGTGTTCTAATAAAACTTTATTTACAGAATAGGGGTAGACCTTAAGAGACTCCCAAAATGAGGCCCCTCTTTCTGCAAAGACCTGCTGAACTAACTTCTTTTAAGGATGCCTGCATACATTCCTCTGCGAGGAAGGCCCTTCTCAGTTCCATCTGCCCTGCACACTTTCTTCACCTACTCAAAGCTTCTCCCTTTATTTAAGATTCAGCCACTCTGTGAGGATTTAGTTAGAATTTAGTGCTGCCCTATTCTGGGCTTCTTTGGTCAACTGCTCATGTTTTTCCCAATGCAGCAAGCAATCCCATTGTTTTCTTCCTATCTGTCCATCTTCCCCCTTAGGGCAAGAAGAACCTAGGGGAAGGTATTCAGTGAGCACTATTTCAAATGACACAGGCTGGTTCCAGCTTTCCCAGTCTCGCTCCTTTGGTAGTGGAGGTCCAGACTGAGCAGAGGCTCTTGCTAGGAGGGTTCTTATTCATCCTTCTTAGCAGTTTGTCAGTCCATCCAATAGAGGCTCCTCTGCATTTTCATTGCCTTACAGAACAATTTCCTTTCCATTATTTATTTACACAGTCATGGTTCTGAATAAACAAAGAGTTTCCAAAGGCTTTGGTTTAATGGCACTGCATGTGGTGGGACAGGAGGAATCAGTGACTAGGAGAAATAGGAAGTCCCAGCTTTCCCAGTGTGGGGTACAGGTGCTCCATGAATCCAACCAGGAATAATCTGGACAAGGCCTTCTATCACTACTTAGCTCATGAGGACTCTCAGCTCCTTCTCAGAGAATAGTCCCATTTTATTTCTATCACAATGGCAAAAACTCAGTGAATGTTATGATTGGTTTGTATCCATGGGTGACTTTTCTACCTGTGGAAGAGCCTGTGACCTTAGACGAGTTAAGAAACAGAATTTTTAGGGCAAAAGAGATTTGGTGTTATGCTTTTCAGGGAGACTAAGAATATTATACACACAGTCCCTTCAAAAGGGGGAGGCAAAGCCAGGTGCAGTGGCTTCCATCTGTGATCCTAGCTACTCAGGAGGTGGAAACTGGGAAGACAGAGATTGGGAGGATGAAGGTTCAAGGCTAGCCCAGGCATAAATGTAAGACCCTATTGGAAAACTACCTGAAGCAAAAAGGGCTGAGTGCATGGCTCAAGTAGTAGAGCACCTGCCTAGCAATCTGGAGACCCTGAGTTCAAACCAAAAAAAGTGGGAGAGGGAGATAGATTCTGCTAAAATATGCTACTAGAATGTTCTCCCTGCCATTCACCCCAAGTTCTCTTCCCCACCATTTTTTTTCCCCAAACTGTGAAAGAGCAATGGGGAGTGGGGGAGATGCTAATGTATAGAATAAGGCTCAGCTCTTACTACTGTTTACATTCAATTTCATCCCTTACCCTCATACTAGCCTCATGCCCTAAACTTTACCTCTGTACTGATTCTACGCAACTGTCAATCAGGTGTCAATGTGAAAGGGAGATTATGTAGGTGTTCTATCCTGATGTTTATCAGTCCCTGGTATTCATACAATGTAGGAGGTGCTCAAATACTGGGTTTAATCTAAAAGAACAAGCACTTTCCCTGCATCAAAAATTGCTTAAGGTTTGGGAAGATCACACACATGGCAGGTGCACCAGCAGCAAAAGATGTCACCAGAACACAGAGTGGGGTGTCAGGTGTGGAGCCTGAACTTCCCCAGGGAGCCCACACAGATGCACCTATGCTGAGAGAGACGTGTAGGAAGGGAAACAGCAGTATTTTAAAGACATACTGAGCACTGACAGAGGCAGAGACAGGGAATCAGACAGGTTTGTTCACTCAGGCCTTTCTCTACCTCTAAGGAAGGGAGGGAAGGAAGTGGGCAGTCCAGGCAGGAGTAATTGGTAAGGATGGCTTCAAAGGGACAGGGGGAACTAGAAATGGGGAATAGAGAACAGGAAAAAAAGGCAGGTGGAGGACAATGACTTGGTCTTTCTCAAGTGCTGTCATGTACATTATCATATTTTGGAGCTAAGAAGATGATGATCTCTGAACCACCCTCCACACTCAGCTCAGTCCCTGCAAACCTGCTGCCTGCTGTGCACTGAAATGTCAATGCTGGGTCCTGGAAAGGCAAGGCCAGCACCCCCTAGGAGCTGACTGTATATGGAGGAGGGGGCCATGTACAAAAGTAAAGGGGACTCCCCTTAGCTTTCTGTACAGGACCTCAGGGGTATGGCCCAGGTCCCCAACATGCATCTCCATACACTGGGGACTCCACAGGGACTTTCAAACAATTGAATAAGCAAACGTAGTAAAGTAGAGAAAAGCCCAAGTTCCAAAAACATGGAGAGGAGAGAAAGTACAAAGAAAAAAGTAGATAGAACAGCTTCCCTTGAAATCATTGGCCAGGTTCTGGAACCCACACTACATACGGGTGAAGGAACCCACAGTGGGCATGAGGTCCAGCAACAGAAGGGCAACAGTGAGAGAAGAGCACTGATGCTGGCAAGAGGGGACATTCCTATCCTCCAGTGGATGCTGATGTTCACAGCTCATGGTATTTAAAGAGAGGCTTGTAATCCTCTTGAGACATGATTACCGTGAATCATACATTAACTGTCTGATGCTTTTACACAACAAATGCAAAGTTCACAATTCATCTTTTAACTGACCAGTTCAAAACACACATATACACCCACTCTTAAAATGTCATCAACTTT